AGCAGGATAGGTGGTGGCACCCGCTCCTGCTACATTGAGGATTACTGATGGTCGTCAGGACCGAGCAGAGGCGTCAGTGGCGAAGAGCAGAGCCTTCCAGCTGACAGCAGAGGAGGTACATGCAACACTCGATGTTGTGATGGGTACGTATCCTCTACTTATCTCTTTACGTATATTTATTGTTGCTTATGTTTACGTGTTTCAATATAGGAGCGTTCCTTGTGGATGGTATATTTTCTCTGGTATTTTGATTCGGGGGCTACCTGATCGTTTGTATCACTCGCACTCAGCAAGCAATTTGTTGGAGCCCCAGGGGAGCTACACTGTCCACTTGATGTAGAGATAGCATATGATAGAACCATACGGGTTGCAAGGGTTCACCGGGGATGTACACTTCAGTTGTTTGACGAGTAGTTCTTTGTGGATTTGGTCCCCATTCCCCTGCGAGGGAATAAAGTTATCGTGGGTATGGACTGGTTGAGCCCCAATAGGGAAGTGATCGACTACGAGTAGTAGCTTGTACAATTTTGGACCCCAAGGGGGGGGGGGGAAGTTTAGTGATACAAGGTGAGAGGTCGCAGCACGGGCCGACAATGTCCTTAGCAGCGAGGGCGAGACGCTACCTTAAGCAGGATTATGCAGCTTACGGTGCTATGTCATGAATAACCCAGATAAGGGTAACATAACTGTGGATGATGTACCGATTGTACAGGAGTACCCGAACGTATTCTCAAAGTATTTGCATGGGGTACCTCCGGCAAGGCAGGTAGAGTTCAGGATTAACCTAGTTCTTGGTGCGACTAAGATAGCCAATGCACCATATCGGTTGGCTCTTCCCGAGATGCAGGAGTTTTCTACACAACTGCAAGATCGGTTAGACAAGGGTTTATCAAGCCAAGCAGTTCACGATGGGGAGCCCCAATGCTGTTTGTGTTGAAGAAGGACGGGTCACATCGGATGTGTATAGATTACCGAGAGTTGAATAAGGTAACTATGAAGAACGTTTATCCCCTTTTGAGGATTGATGACTTATTTGACCAGCTTCAGGGTGCATCTTGGTTCTCCAAGATTAATTTGTGATCGGGTTATCACTAGATGCGATTCAGGGACGACGATGTACATAAGACATCCTTTCGGACTCTCTATGGTCACTATGAGTTCGTGGTGATGCCGTTTGGGCTCACCAATGCTCATGTCACATTCATGGTCCACATGAATCGTTTGTACAGACCGATACGAGATCGGTATGTGATAGTTTTTCTCGATGATATCTTGGTTTACTCCAAGGCTCAGGAGCAGCATGAGGAGAACCTAAGGGAGGTGCATGAGACAATGAGGAAGGAGCCCCTTTTCGAAAAATTATCCAAACGTGAGTTCTGGTTACGCGATGTGCAATTTCTGGGGCACCTTGTCAACCATAAGGGTGTTCTGGTCAATCCGTCTGTGACATCCCCATTTTTCACGTCCAGAAAATACCGATTTCATTTATGCTTTTAAAATAAAAATAGAGCAGTCTCTCAAAAGGTGTTGCGGAATTTCTTCCCAAAACAAAATATGATAAAAATTTATCAAAGCATTTCTTGATGAATGTATTTTCATTATATTACAAAACCTCGGCATGTCATGTTCCGATACAGACCAAAAGCATAAATAGTATGATATAGGCTTTACAATTGTTATTTACATTTACTGGCATATAATCCAAAATCCCTACATCGATTTTGATAACTAAATCCACCACCATCATTGGACGCAGATGGTGATGGTTGATGAAGGAACGTCGATGGATAAACCTTGAATGAACAAGCCGACGGGGGAGAAAATATATAAGAGGGAATAAAGGAGGTGAGAGAAAATGTGTGGCAGTGGTTTAGGTGTAACATCCCAAGACCATGTATACTATATAAACCCTTGTTTTTTTGGTAATTGTCAAGTTTGACCCTTATATGAGAAAAACCTGGTAAATGAGTACGCGGGTCGTACCCGTGGTACGCTCAGCGTACTTATGTGCGTGTTTTTGACATAGAAGCCACCTAGTACGCTGGGTGTACCAGAGGGTATGTTGAGCGTACTAGGCCCAGATTGAAAACCCTAATTTAGGGTGTGTCCCTATTTAAAGGACATGATGACCTCATTTTTTGCCACCATTCCCAGACATCAACCCTCTCAAACCCTAATTTATCGTCCCTTGAGCTTGTGTATCCATTTGTGAGCTATTAAGTGTTCTTGTGTTTCTTTGGAGTGAAAAAGGAGCTTTGAAAAGGAAGGAGTGGGAGTCCAGGCTTTGGATCTGAGCTTAGTTGTGGTTAGAGCTTCAGTTAGAGGTATAAAGCTCAAAGCTTTCTCACCCTTTTGTTTTGTGCATCATTTTAGTTCATTTTAGGGTTTTGGTCCCAACGTTGGATGCTTTATGATATATTGAGCTCCAAAGTTATTATCAGATCCTTTGAGTGTTTTTAGTGGTCTAGAGTCATAAAAATAAAGACTTGAACGTTTAAACGAACCCATGCATGAGATGTGAGCATGCTTGAGAATAGAGAGTGAAAGTTTTGGTGTTTGTGACTTTATCAACCATGCAAAGGCTTAAAGTTACAGACTTCATGGAGTATGAGCCTTTAGGGAGTCCAGATCTGAGATTTGAGCTAAGGTATTAACGGATTAAGATCAAATGAGTAGAAAGAGCAAAACAAGGGCGTGCGCTGAGCGTAATCCCAGTACGTGCAGCGTATGTTCGAGAATCCCCGATGCATGCATGGCGAAGGAGTACACCCAGCGTAGAGGGCTTATACGCGCAACGTACGCGCTGTCGTTGACTTTTAGGATTTGGTCAATTTGTGGACTATTAAGGCCATGGAAGGGTAAAAAGGTCTTTTATCCTTCTGTGAGTTTGTAGAAGGGTTAGTCTAGCTTCTTTGAGATCCGTTATTAATTAGAGATAATTATCGTATGTGTTAGGCGGGGGCTAGACCAGTGATTTGAGTTCGAGGTTATCTGATTTCTTACGATGTGAGTCTTCTCACTATACTTACCTAGAGTTGTAATCTTTGTGTGACCAGAGGATCTTATGTGCTTATATTGAGTATTGTGATATCCTGCATTTTGTCTTCGTGATTTATGTTGTGTATTATTCTGAGCTTACTAAGTTAGGACCGGAGGGTCCACCCGAGTTGTGGGACCGAAGGGTCCTACTGAAATACATTGACCGGAGGACCTTATTCGAGTATAGTCATAAGAGGCTAATGAGATATGTGTGGTATTTTGGGGGACTCACTAAGCTTCGTGCTTACCGTGTTATGTGTTATGTGTTTCAAGTACTTCTTAGGATCTTGGGAATGCGCCGACTTGATTATACACATGAGGCGGAGTCACAATTTAAGGATCTTGGATTGTGTTTAAAACAGTTTTTTAAATATGTGTTTTTGAAAACATTATCATTTGGGGTTTTGTGAACTATGTTATGAGAATTATATGATTTCTAAAATGAAATTTTTGTTTGAAAATTTACGGTGTTATATTAGGGTTTTTTTAATATTTGGTTTATATAATAATAAATCAGAAAAATAAATGGAAAAATAAATAAATAATGGTAATATAGTCATTTTAGGTCTATCAGTAACCCAACTTGCAACAAAAATACATTCTAAGAACAAACCGAATTTATAAAAAAATAAAAAATAAAAAAAAAATTATTAGAGACTAAACACACAGATTAACCCAAACCGTGCATTTTAGATAGGCTTCATTTATCCCTACCTCATTTCCACTTATTCCTACCCTATAATTATTACTTTAACTAATTAAATTAATGATTATATACTTTTTACTAATCATTGATATTTTTTACTAATCATTGATACTTTTTATAATTAAACTTATTTACTAAAATATTATTAAACTTATTTACTAAAATATTATTTAGTTTATTTATGGATAATCTAATAATACTTTTTTAATAAAAAAATATAGAAATATTTTTATTTTATTAAAAAAATTAAAATACAACACAATGATAATAAAATAATATTTTGACATAACTTCTAATAAAATATTTAGCTATTTAAGGAAAAAAATAAAGTGTTTTATAAGATAATTTAAATACACGAACTAAAGCTTAAATACATTGAATAATATAGTAGTGGTTTATCACGTCAGTTGATATATATTTATGATTGATTTGCTCTTTTTTTTTTTAATATAATAATGGTTTCTACAATATCAATTTTATTTCTTTAATACTTTCAAATTCACCCCTTACATTTATATAAAAGTTAAGGTTAATACCTTTTATTTATTAAGCTTTTAGAACATATCATTATTAATCTTTTATATTAATTTGACTTACATTAATTTGATGAAAAAAACGTTTAGTACTTTTGAATTATACTATTTGATATTTTTGAAAAAAATTATATTTCTGATCATATATAACCAAAAATATAACTTTTTCTAAAATATCAAATAATATAATTCAAAATTTCTAAACGGTTTTTTCATCAAATTAATGTGTGTGTGAGAGAGAGAGCGCTAAAGTATATATATATATATATATATATATATATATATATATATATATATATATATATAGAGGAAGAGAGAGAGGGAGCTAAAAGTATTTTTTTTTAAATTGAAAAAGATATAAACTATAAGTAAGATCAAATTAAAAGGCTATAACTATAAATATTAAATATTAAAGGGAAATGGTTAATGGATATAAATACCTCTAATCTAGATATCTGTGAAATATTTGAAAGATTTCATGACTTTCAAAATCACTTTTACCCATCTTTTGTAAAATTAACATTTATAATACTTAGTTGGTTGAAAATCTTAAAATCAAGTAATATTAAAATATATAAAAGGTATATCAAAATATATGATGAACAAATAATATTAAAATATATCATTAACAAATAATTATTACGAGGTAGGTAGGAATAACATATTATTAGAATCTAATCTAATGTGCAAACGATTATGCTAAAAGTGGACCCTTTAGGAATCTATGCCTCTCCATAGCTCGTAGCAGAGATTGTATATCCTGCCGATCTACGAAAATCGTCTGTTTTGGAGTTTCTCACAGTCTGTAACTCATCTATGAGCTCATTCAGTGTCCGCCAAGATGACCCACCTTCCGCCATTGCTTCCTTTGCAGCCTCACCAATCTCCTTCACCTTTTTCCTTACTTCCTTCCCCTTTTCACCCTCCATGAGCTCCTTCACCATTTTCTTTAACCCTTCTGATGTTACAAACCCATTCACTGATCCATCACATGTCTCAACCCGTAAACCGATCTTAATCTCCTCCACCACCATTCTTGCATTCAGAGGTTGCTCAGCCATCATTGGCCACGCTAGTATCGGCACCTCTGAACATATGCTCTCCAACACCGAGTTCCAACCACAGTGGCTTACAAACCCTTTTACGCTTTCGTGCTTCAGAATCTCCAATTGGTCCACCCATTCTCGTACGATCATTCCTCTTTCTCCCACTCTTTCTTGTAGCTCGTCAACAACACGAGTCTCATAATTCCTCACCACCCACAAGAAACTCACTTGGGATTCTTCCAAACCCTTTGATATCTCTTCCAACTGTTTGGATGATAACTCTGCTTGAGAACCGAATGCTACGTATAAAACCGAGCATCCCTGAGCTAGCTTTAGATCTAGCCACTGAATCCATTCTGATTCAGGCTTCCGGTCAACGATTGGCGATGAATCGGTCACAGCCAAGGAGAGGGGACCGACACACCAAGCTTTGGGCATAGACTCGCCATTCAAGTAGTCTAAAAACTGTGGCTCTAGCTCGTAGAAGCTGTTCATTATCTGGCCATAGCTATTCATCATTGCCATGGTAACTTCCATTACGAAGTCCTGATGAGGACTCGTGGGATTTCGTTGATTAAAAGGCTCGATAAAGTCATTCCTGGTGACTTTAATCCACGGGAACCTGGTCACGGTGATTAAGTCATCATCGGTCTCAGGTCCTGACAATAACCGGTTTACAGCCACTTCTTGACTTATAGCACTGGAGTAGGCACTCATGCCAAAAAACCAGAGGCGAGGGATCCCAAACTTATTTGCAGATGCAAGAGTCCAACTCAGAAACCCATCAGAAACGATGCAGGTCACATGGGGAATTTTCTCGAGTGCTTCTTCAAAGTCTGGCTGCATAAGCTTGGTTGCAGTGGCAAATTGCGGGAAGCAGGACATAGAAGGGAGCTTATCGGTGCTCTCTATACCTTGAGGTATTCCTTCAACTTGGTTAGGAAATGGCAGGTCAACAATGGAGATTGAATCTGATTGTCGGTGGAGAAAGTCGGCGATGAATTGTCGGTTGGCTTTTGTGGTGAAAAGGGTGAGTGTAACGCCGCGGGAGACGAGAAGCTGGGATAGGTGGAGCAACGGGATTGTATGGCCTTTGGACATGAACGGAAACAATACAAAATGAGGAGGGTTTTGAGTTGAAGTCATCTGTGTGATCGATGGAGGAAGGAGCAGAGAGATCTGCACCTTCTTGACGTTGTGGTTGAAAGGAGTTAATGAGTAAGAGAGACGTGCTAGGCTTTTGTCTTAAATAACATGCATCCCTTGTCAATTTATTTTAACAAGATGGAATCAGATGCGCCTTTGGCCCTGGGTTTCTTTTTTTTCGGTTATTTGAACCAATTCTCTCTACTGAAAAAAACAACAATTACACAATTAGCTTTATCTAATCAACAGGGTACATTTGGCATTACCCGATGTGGGATGCAATTTGGACTAATATAGATACCAACTTTCATCCAAATCTATTATCAGTTTTATGAAATTTGTTCACATTAATGTTTTTCCACTGCTTGAATGTCATAGAGTACACAAACTTGCTTGACTGATAAAAAAATTAATTCAAATTATTAGAGTCTACCCAAATAATAATAATAATAATAATAATAATAATAATATATATATTAAAAAAAAAAAGCAAAACTATTTTCATTAAAAAGTAACCAAATTTAAAATTTGTTCAACTCAGTACCTCAAACTTTTTTTTTTCATCATTTTTGTAATATCATAACAAAACTGAAACTTGATTACTATTTTAACAATTTTTGTTTTCCATAAACTTTCCACAATCAACAAACAAAAATACAAAATTTCATAACAATGAAACAAAATTGAATTAAGTAAATTTATGATATGTATTTGAACAAATATAAAAGTTTGTTACTATTTACTAACATTTTTAAAGTTTCAATAATCATAAAGTGACAGTTGCTGACACCAAATATGAGTTGTTGAAAGAAAAATCGACCATGCTCATAATCAACATAATTAAATGTTTGCAAGAAAGAAAAACAACAAATGACTTCATATAAGATTAGAAAAAAGGATTGACAAATGGGGTGGGGTCAAAAAGTTTCCCTTTAGAAGCATATTCCATCACAATTGCCAAATGGGCTCTAATCATCATAAACCCAAAACTAAATCCTAACTTATGAAATTGAGAAAACAAAGACGAAAGAAGGGGCATCGATACCTGGCTGCTTAATGTATATGTAAAAGGACAGATGAAGAAGATAGTATTCCAAAGGGGGGATGTTTTGTTGAATATAAATAGTCAAAGGAACAAAAGTAAAAATAGTAAAAAAGGATACATGCTTTAAGTACATCAGCGCCTGCATCTTCTAGCCATGTGTTTTGGCATATTTATAAACATCATATATGATGGATACCGCATCATAGTTTGAACTGATATACCTGAACAAAGATGTATTAAAGTCCATCAACACATGGATTAGAAGGATTGTTATGGAACTTAATTCCAAAAGACACGATGGAATGGAATCTGAAATTCCAATTCCATCGGAATCTAAAAACCAAACAGAGCCTCATCCAAAAAATTTATCGTTTTCATATTGCAGAGCTTGATGGTGTAGTGAGTGATGGGCGGTGACTTGCCTATGTTATTATAGATATATAGTTGAGTATCAAATATGTTTTACATAGTATGTTAAAGTTATACCACCCGCTGCAGGATATGATGCATAAAATTGATCACCTCTTGAGAATTCAGCTCTTGTCCTGAAAAAATTGGAAAACAAACTATAAAAGCCAACAATTTCCTATGATTAGTGAAGTACAAATTTGTCTAGTTGATCAATTTTTGAACAGTCTGCACTACATTCAATTGAAATTGACAAACTTATTAATTAATTTAAAAAATAATGAAATAATGAATAGAGATTCAGTCTGTTAAAAGGTGGCTACTTTTATAATGAAAAGAAGGCCTGCTTAAAAATGTGAAACATATCGCACATAATAATAGCTAAAAATGGAAATTGTTCATTAATATTGTCAATTGTTGGACAAAAATATATGTCAATAAATATTAACTCAAAATTTTACTTATTCTAAACATCAACAGAATTCTTAACATCACCTAATATAAAAATGTAAAATGAAACTTTGATAAGCTGATTAATGGTTTACAAAGTCCCTTAAAAAAAGGCAAAACCTGATAAGTCAAACCAAAAAGGAGCAAAATGGTTCATTGTTTCTTGTATAGTTAGGAATTCTTTATGTAAATAGTAAAGAATCCAATTTTATCAAATTTATAAAACAATTGAAAGTAAATAATCAGCAACTAAACTATCAAAATGACAAAATGGTTCAACATTTGTTATGTAAACTACAGAAAATTAGTATGATAAGAAACTTTTTAAATAATCGGTCCAAAGCACAAAGACATGAACCAATCAAAACCAAAGCACAAAATCAACAATTAAATTACAAAAAAGGCATTTAGTGCAAAAATACATTTGAATTGGAGTCAAATAACTTATACATAAATAAAGAAAGTCTAATAAGCTATTGGAAGATTAGAATAAGACAGTAAGATAACAAATATAAATTCTAACCACAGAAACAGCAAGTAACTAATGGGTTTGGGGAAATGTCACCTAAAAGGAAACCTGATGACTAAAACCAAAACGAAGAAAAAATGGGGTTCATGATTTCTTTTTTACAATCGATAGAAAAGTTGTACAATTAGGAAACTTTAATGCATGTAAGACTACATGCATCCTCAATAAATAGTAAAAACTTCATCATTCAAGTTTATAAGAGTATCAATGAAACAACCACACGGAAACACATTAATGCAAAACAACAAACATCAATATACAGATGAATTGGAGCCCAATAACTTACGTAGAAAAAAAAAGGCTACATTTATTGGATTGTAAGAGAAAACGAAGTGTAATTTGGGAAAGAAACTGGTAATGTTTTGTATCATGGAATTGGGGAAGCAATGGAATGGAATGGTTGATTCCGATTAGAAAATAACCCATTTATATTTAAGTATATTTAATGACATAATTTTTTTTTTTGACCTTTCATGATTTTAGTAACTCATTTTTTTCTAGAAATTAACTATATTTATTTAGCGGTTGATTGAACGGAAAACACAAACATTTTTTTAAGTTATCAAAATGTTGTGTCTTTTATGCAAAAAATATTTTATACTTATTTGCATAAAAGAAATAATATGTTGACCGCTTTTTCAAAGAGACAAAATCTTTTTACGTAAAAAGGCAAAAACAGAAAGTTAGGTCACGATTTTGGTTTAGATTGTAAATTAAAATTTTAGGTCTTACCCCAAAAAAGGTCAAAATGTTGTATTTTACGCAATTAACACTATTTTTTATTATAATCTGATCTGAGTTTTAAATTTTAATAAACTTTTAGTATGGTTAATTTTGTATTTTTGTACACATTTATACTATAAAAAAGTTTAAATGAAAATTCATTCGCTTCCTACTGGCCAACAAAACATGATTATGGAATGTAATAACACATTCCGTTACCTTGTTCACTCCATTCCAAAGTCTGAAGCCAATAGGTTGTTTTCAAATGTGCACATGAAGAAGAAATGTTGGGGAGATTAAGTGCCTAACCCTAGCCTTAGATGGAGCAAAGCAGACTGAAGCTGGCTCTGGGAACAGGAAGGAAGTGAGCACCCTGGCGGAGAAAAGAAATGAAACCTAAAACATAAATGGAAGCTGTAAGAACATAGTAGAAACTCAGACCTTACTAACCCTTTGTATGCTAACTTAAATTTGAGTTATAATTAAAAGAAGTTTAGACTGACCAAGTCGTTCACCTTCCTTTCTTTCTAGTTGTATCTTTGCACTTGGAAAATTCTTGACCAAAAAAAAGTATTGACCAACTCCAGGAGCTCTATCATGTGTTTGTAGATCAACCTAATCATAGGCAAACAGAAATCAAAAATTATTTATATTAGTATAAAAAATTAAGCCAACTATGTGAAACCAGTAGGATGACTGTTCGCCAAGCATAGCTAGTTTCACCATAGATTCTAATTTCTATCAATTATCTGATTCGATACTTCATTCATTAGAAGTATCAGACCTTTTCAACATACATATCATCTAGTCTTACTTACTGCAACAAAAATGAGATGACAAAGAAAATTTATATTCTTAAGACAAAAATTGTACAGAATTGTTATGTGATATAGTAATTACCTTATTCAAAGAGATTATCATAAAAGAGAGCACATTAGGTAAATTGTTTCCTCCATACTTCACACCACCTTACAATCTTCGATCTCACCATACTTGACAAACGCATTGGTTAGAATCTCAGCGTGCGTAATCTTACCGATTCTTTGAAGCATTTCAGCAAACAGTTGATGTGCATATTCAAATCTGCCAACTATGAACAAAAAAAAACAATCTAATAAGCCCCAAATTAGTTTCTTTTTTCACAGAGAAGGTTTTTCCAAACTTACATGACTTCATTATGTCAAAATAAAATCACTCTATAAGGTAAGGACTAATGAAACAAAGATGCACTGATTTTGAACTACAAATGTAAGTGACTACAAAATCCAATAATCAAAATCAATTGGTTGAGCTATCATTTGACTAAAAAAATAGATACAATGTCCATAAATGACTACAAAAATCAGAACACAAAATCAATTGACCAAACAATCAATGAAAAGTCGTATTCCATGATATGACGTTTCATTCAGACATTTTATCAAACACCCTTTATACATAATTTAGTTTACCATGTTTTGTTTACATGTCAATCACAGAGTTTTCAAAAATCACACAGAAGGGAAATTTAGACTAAAGGACAGGGATGTGAGTGTGTTTACCTGTTTCATATGTTGTAACCAAAGAAACCACCAGAATTTTCAAAATCGAAAATCATAAAAACAGATTTCAGCTTTAGGTGAAAGCCCAAATAAAAAATACGGCAGTGATTTTTAGTGAGAGGAGGCTCAAAAAAGGGAATGAAAGGCGGTATGCCTGCAAACACCGGTTGCATATTCCAATCGGATATGCCTTCCGATTTACCTTGCCAAAATACGGCCTTCAACTTCACCCATGGTCGACGTTGCAATTTTTTTCACAAACAAAGCTCATCATCGCCTCAAATCTTTGTACAGAACAATCAAA